CTCATGACTTAATGTACATCTTTACTCAAAGTTAATTTGGGCTTGCAAGAAATTTTGAGTTTGTGATGAAAACATTAATTAGTTTAAAGCATTTTACATATGCTCGTCTAAAAGAAAATTTAGTGTGTTATATAAACATTTGAATGCATGAAAGAGCAATGATTGATTGCGTTGAAGCAAGTAATACTTTGCTTTTTACAAGGTCTGAGCCAGATCCATGAAAAGAGTTAGAAAGTTTGTATTTATCTTGTTTAATCCTTACAACTGCCTGATGAATAGTTGTCATTAAAAGTCATATCCTATTGGGCCGGGGATTTAGCTCAGTGGTTCCAGCACCTGCCTTGCAAGCGCAAGGTCCCAAGTTCAATCCCCGGTACCAAAAAAAACAAAAACAAAAAAGTCATATCCTATCTAATACTAAGCTATTTTCAGTAAAAAACAACTCTCTTCTTTTCATTCATAATATGGAGGAAAACCCTAAGCAATGTGCAGAATGTTAGGTAGCAAAAACTTTCCTTTTTAAGGGTCGGTGTAAATACTGACCAAGGTTTTAATGATTATGACATAAATATTCAGTATTTAAATTATATAGATTATTCTGAGGTTTACAAAACTCAATTTTTTCCTTTTAACCTAATGTAATCACTATAAGAGTTCTCTGTCATTTGCTTCTAACAATTCTTAAATGTTACCTTTGTTGAGCCCTATTCCTTTCAGAACAAAATGACATTGTTTCTTTTTGTAATCATACAAGTATATTGTACAATTGACAGAATCTTGAATCTTTTCCTCCAACAACCTGTCTATGATGTGTACTAACATGTGTGTGCACATGAGTGTGTATGATGTATATGACATTTTGCATCAATTTTGTCTTCATTTGGATTGTATTTATTATTAAAGATAAGAATACTTTTTTCTGTATGTCTCAACACCAGCTGTACACTAGGTGGTCCATTGCACATAGTGGGAGAATTTTCATCCTGTTGAATCATTTTATGGTCTCTCCTCGTTTTTGCGGAAACAATTTCATTTGAGCCCAATATGAAAAATTAATGCAGATTCTCCTTTCAAATTCTCCATAGGAAAAAGCTCTGTAGTCTTAATACTATAGTAGGAGTAAGTGCTTCCATTTATAATTCAAGATCTACTGCTGCTGCTTCTTTTCTTTAGCTAAATCAGTGTTAAAAAAATGAAACAAAACAAAACCCTTTCTGACAAGTCAGAGGCCGCTGCCTAACATCTCACTCTCACTGTAAAGGTCCAGTTCTCCTGTTTGCCAGGAGGCATTTCAGTGGATTGAGCACTCTTATTTATCTTTGTTTTCCTCTGGAGAGCCCATTACAGTGTTAGCAAAAGAATAAAAAACACATAGACCAACAACACAAAGAATCGAAGGGAGACCAACACAGAAAGGAAATTTCAAAGCGTTTTTGGTGGCATGACAGCTGATGGCGGCGTGGTGTCTCTTGAATTATTGGGAAGGTGGCTGCAGCCCACAAACATGTCTGGACTGCAGCCCAAGGGACTCCTTGGAATCTCTGGAGGTTTGTGCCTTTGGATGCCAGGTGGGTGAGAGTCCCATGTGAAAATCACAGGGCTTAATGGGATGTCCATGGTCAGAACACTTTACATTCTCTATCCCTGCCACCACCTTCACTTCATGGTTCCACCAAGGTCTAGACCAGGCGTTTGTCCCTCAGGCTCATCTCTGAAGAACCCGTCAGAACTGTCCAGGGAGACCCACTGATGCTGATTAGGAAGTTAAACTCCCAAAAGGGAAGCCACCCAATGTCCATTCTTTGAATTAAAAGCCTGTGTTCCAGGACACACATGTTTCCTCTGGATTTTCTGTTGTCTCAGATTTAAGATCAGGGACTGCTAGATGCCCCAGGAAAACCTGTGAGAAAGCAGAGTAGAGAAGAAGATACAACAAGCTACCCCAAGGAATCAGAGCTGAACCAGGCAATTAGAGAGGCGGGAAACCTTCATTAGTTAAATGAGAGAGGTTTTGAAAATGGCATTTTAAGGAAAAGGTCCTAGAAGGAAGGAACCACCAGAGAGCCAGAAAGAACCATAGCAAAGTATCTTGTTGTGGGTGACCCACAAGATACCTTCAAAGAAAGGTTGGTGAAAAAGTGACTTGAGAAACTGACCTCTCAGAAGAACCACAGAAAACCCTGTATGTTTATTTTAGAAGATGGAGCTAAGACTGCTGTCCCTTTTGGGTGGCCTAGAGTGTGTCCCAGTGAAAATTACCTTTTTCTTCATTGTAACTCTTCTCTCATCTTCCAGATGAATGGAATGGCCTGGTGTGGCAGGGCATCTCTGTTCAGGTGGGACATAAACAGGAACTGGGGAGTGTGGGCTATTGCTGTGGGTCCAGTAACCCCAGCAGGGTCTCATTGTTCGTGATCTGCTTGCATGGGCAGCCCAAGTATGTTGACATCACTTGGGACACTATGTTGACAACTTCAGTGGTGTTTTTCCAAATTCTGAAAAATGATAGTAATCTTCTGCTTGTCACTTGAGACTTTTTTTTATAGCTTTCTAATCCTAATAAAGCTATTGTGGGATTTGGAATCATCTCTAAATGCCCTCACAAAAAGTACACATTTGTTTTCTTTTTCTGAACCTCAAGGACATGATTGCCTCCTTCAATCTAATGTGGGTTTCTCCCACAAATTAGGCATTGTTGGAATAGAATTTGGACTCTTTTAAAAAACAGAGTTGAATGCTTATATAACTGAATAGAAATTTGAAAAATGTTCATGAGAAAGTTGAAAATAATCCTGATTGTATGCTTCTTGGGAATTTGTAGGAATGTCTCTCTATAAATTGAAATGTGGACAGTGATTACAAAGTTGTGGATAAATTCTCCTTCACCTGAAACTATAGGGATACCCACACACACACACAATAATTTCTTTCCTGCCATCAAGTTTGCCTTTGATGCCGTATTTAGGTGCAGGGCAGGGTAGGTGTTCTGACATTTAATGTGTGGATTGGTTCTTCAGTTTGAAGAAAAGGATGATGATCATGAGGGGAGGATTTGGTTTACATTTGAATGAGATTGTTCTTGTCTTCACACTCTTCTGATTTTGAGTCTTTGAAGAGAGATGTGCTACAGTGTAGAAATTTGTAGTTTTGAGTTTTCTCCTTAGAAGTTCAGGTGGACACAGGAAACCATGCCAGTTAAATTCTATTGCAGTGAATTCTGAGGAATTCCCAGGCAAACTTGCATTATACAAGAATTTTACCAAGTTGAATATTGGTTAAAATAAGTCCATAGACTGGGACTTCTAAATTTGTTATACTCAGTTTTAATTTTATGGTCATGTTTATTTCAGTAGGATTTTTTTTGTTGTAGTTTGAAAATTTAGGGCTTTGAGAACCAAAGCCCTAAATTGACTGAAATAGTTTCTTTTAAAATTAGCAACATTTCTGTGAAATGTTTCACCTCTATTTTTTAACCTAAAATGATTTGTGTACTTTTATAGCTTTATAGATAACATCTTCCTCGAGAGCAATTTATTTAGATATTCCATGGCACATAAAAGATTGCTTCAGAGTCTTGTGCAGAAACATATTAAGGGAAAGTTATAGGAGCTCTGGAACTCAGGGCTTACACCACGTAAATTTCAGAGCCGTTTCCAGTGCTCTCTTGCTAGGATTCTGACAGTTTGAATATCTGCATTGCACTGTGTCTTTGTAGGGTACTTGCTAAATTTTTTTTTAACTTAAATGGTAGCTTGAACTGTGTGCATGTTTGAAAGAGGAAAATTGATTTTCTCAGATTGGATATAGACATAAGTGCTGTCAAACGTAAGACCACTTTTTGCTTGACTTTTACTTTTGGCATGCAATTCGAAATGTGTATTTATCAAGTTGAGTTAAGTATTTTGTCTTCATCAGGAAACTTTTAGGCAGACCTTTGTTTTTGTGCTGGCTCCCTTACGCTGCTCACCTGCTGCTTCCTGGCTCTCCTTGCGCTGGGAAGGTAGGAATCTCAGTGTGTTTTAGTGGAATATGGAGTGAGTGTGTTACTCTTGCTGACTTTACAGGTCTGTTGTTCCCCTGGAAGGGCTCAGACGCTCAGGAACGTGGGTTATCTATCTTTGCCAAGGCTTTGAAGACCGTATCTTAGGAGAGTCATCAAGAAGGGACATTGTTCTTAGGTGTTGGGTCCTAAGCACTTGTAGGATGTTGGCCTCTGGGCCTGATGGTTTTTTGTTTTTTGTTTTTCAAAAGATGCTCAAGTGCATTGCTTCTATTCACAGTGCTGGCACCTCACTTGTGTACCCTGCCACTTTGGTACTTGTATAATTACAACAGGCTGCTTTTGAATTCTTTTGTTACCATTTAAACCTTCACAATACTGCCAGATTCATTGTATGCAGAGATCTCGTTTATTAAATGTCTTTGTCCACCTTTTCAGCTGTCCATTCAACATTATTTTCCAGGGCTGCTTGCTTAAACTTCACCTTAGTCTTGCTGATTACATTCTTCATTTCTCTTTGACTCATGACTTTGATTAGCGTGTACTGTTTTCTCTCACTCTGGGAAAAAAAACCCCTTCTTTTTCCCTCACTTTATAAAACTTATATATAATTGAGAGCCTGGTTTTATTTTCCCACTGAAAATTTTTCTCTGATTTCTCTGTCCTTCATTGATCTCTCTTTTTTTAGAGCCTCCTGAATCACATACTTCATAAATAGGATCTGCTTTGGTGTTCCCAGGAGTTTCTAAACAGTTTGTCAGACCTCAAGACCTTGGATTCTTTGATCTCCTAGGTACCCAGGCACTTGGTGGGTGTAAAGTCACAACCTGTTGACAGATTTGTTGTCCCAATTATAGTACTATTTATTTAAGCATGGTGCTTAAAATTAGGAAAAGTGTTGAAATTACAGCAACATACAGAAAACCTCAGTGATTTTAAGTTTATATAATATTTTACTGATGTGTTGAAATATTTTTTGTTTCCTCCCTTATCTTGCCAGCAATCAAAGAGAAGTACACAGACTGGACAGAATTCCTCATACGCGATTTGACTGGCTCTCGGACAGCACCTGCCAACCTGCTGGAAGGTGTATGTATTGTTGTTATGAATCTATTATATCTCTGAAGCATCCCTGCCCCATGAACTCAGACCTAATGGCACCTTTGCATATATCCTTCTGCAGATACATGTGTACACACAATATCTTTATTCTAGCCTGACTTCCTGTTTGTACAGAATTACTTAGGTGACAGGATTTGGATGTCACTAACTAATCTTCCCCTGTCACTAAATGGAAATTGTGCTGTATGTGAATGCATTTTAAAATTCTATGTAAGGATGCCTTCTCATTATCCTATATGTTTAAGCCTATCTCCTGTATTAGTGACTGTAAAAAAGTCTTGTAGAATAACTTTGAATAGGTGATAACTAAGTGTTAAGTATTGAGTTATCAAATATGTCTTAAGAATGTCTCTGAAAAGAGAAAAATTTAATGACCAACTGGGACTAAGGTGCAGATTTTTTATTTGTACTGGGAATCAAACTCAGGACCTTGCACTTGTGAGGCAGGCAGTATGCCACTGAGCTAAATCCCCAGTCCTAAGGTGCAGATTTTAACAGTGTTATTATTATTATTATTATTACTACTATTATTATTGTTTTAACCTTCTCAGAAATAGAATTGATACTTCAGACTACCACCAGCTGATGCTCGCTTAACAGCTTTTGTTTTGTGACAATTTTGTTTATTTCAATAGCTGCTATTTTAACTGTTAACAAACCAAAATGATGATTGTTCACCTTTTCAAAAGGACACATTGTCTTATTATGTTAATTTATAAAAATTCATTTGCCTAAAAGGGTGGCTGAACAAACACCCTTTTCATATGTTAATATACCCCAAGAAAGTTCCTTAGGAGGGTCAATAATTATGTGCTTTCCAAGCCAATTACCAAGTTAAGTGGTTAAATGTAGCAATAATTTTACATAGTAGTCAAATTTCGATAATCGTGAGTGTGTATTAGACATCTCATCTACACATGGTCATACTTGATTCACCAAATCAAATTACCAGAGACTCTTGGTTATTAGAGAATTGGCCATCATAAGATGAAGGTCTATTGATGAGTCATGGTTTAAGTCTATTGTCCTGTATTAGATACATCTATTTATTTGAAAATGAGACTTTTTGCTACCACATGTTTTCTAGCTCCAGGCAAATTTGGGTATAATTCTTCTTAAAAGTGTACTGTTTTTTTTTAACAAATGCAAGTTTACCTGGGAAGGGTGATTTGTTTGAAGCATAAACTGTTATTTTCTATTTACTTGTGATTTTTATTGTTGGGTACAATGTTGGGTACATTGATGTGTGTGAAGGAGGAGAGGGGAGGGTTGGGGGGTTGATGGCTGTGAGGAGGATGGGGGTGGTGGGAAACACCAGACTGTTTGCCAATAGCTTGGATGATGGTGTGAAAAAAATATTATCTTCTGCTGTCATCTGTTTCCATGAGAACCTTAAAATAAAGTTTAAAATAAGGAGTTTTGCTTCTGTTTAAACAGCCTCTGCGAGGGAAAGGCCCTATAGACCTCATTACAGTTGATTCCTTAATAGAACTTCAGGATTCTCAGAACCCTTTTCAGTACTGGATAGTTAGTGTGATTGAAAATGTTGGAGGAAGATTACGCCTTCGCTATGTGGGATTGGAGGACACTGAATCCTATGACCAGTGGTTGTTTTACTTGGATTACAGACTTCGACCAGTTGGTTGGTGTCAAGAGAATAAATACAGAATGGACCCTCCTTCAGGTAAGGCCCAAAGGTCTTACTGTTGTGAAGTATGTAACTAAAAGAGGTGATATTTTCTTGGATGTGTCTCTGGAAAATTTCTTATCTCTGTGGTATCTCTTACAACTGAGCATGTGAATTTTAAACTTGTTAACTCCAGCACACTTTGTGTAGAGAATAAAATCCAAAACTTTAATCAGCAGCTTTCTCAAAGGAGAAGGTAATGTTAGAAGCCTTAGGAAAGTTGATTTAGTTCTTTGGAATCACTGGTTCACAAAGGAAAGATGCAGTAGATTGGGCTTTGAACATATTCTCCCCCTTTCAGGCATTTTGATAATCTTGCAAGTAGATTCCACAGTCTCTATCTGTCCATTTATCTGTTTCTCACTCTCTCCCTACCCATCTGCAGACTCACCGTTTCCAACCACTAACATATCTATCCATTCACATCAACCCATCTTTCCATCCATGGATCTCTATTTTCATCCATCTAATTACCTATCCATCCATTCATCTGTCCATCTGAATATCTAAATCCATGCTTATCATTATCTGATCCATTTGGACAGGAAGTAGCACTAAGGAGATCATCATGACTCCCCACCTCCACCCCAACCCAGAACACCATCCATTGTAGATAGCTTCAGATGTGCTGTCAAGTGACTTTGCCTAGACTTAATTGAAGAAAATAGTGCATTATGCTTTTTGACATACCTAACTAGTCAAAAATTTCAGTATTTACAAAATAACCATTCTTGAATGTTCACTACATGCCAGGTGATTTTACATCTGCTATGTTGTTTGTTTTGATTTAAAAAAAAAAGTGCTCTGTGTTTGGTGTGAATTTCATTTCAGCAGATAAAATTGAGGCTGGCTTAAGTTACTCATCCAAACTTCCCTGGCTGGTAGAAAGCAGATGCTGCGGTTCAGATCCCCAGGTTTTGTGTCCATTACACCCCATTTACTCTGCTGATCTGTACTGGTCTTAATGGACTTTTTGGTGGGAACCCTCAGAGCAAAGCTGTTGGATTCTCATGGAATTAAAGATGCTAAACCAAGAAAGAAATACTCCTTTCTATCAGAAATTGTTGATCTTCATTCTGGTCAGTTCTGTAGGTATATTTGGAGGAAATACTTATTGCCTTGCTTTATTAAAAGCAAGGAGGGGCCAGGGATTTAGCTCAGTGGTTCCACTGCCTACCTCGCAAGCACAAGGTCCCAAGTTTGATCCCTGGTACCAAAGAAAAAAAAAAAGCAAGAAGATTTCCCTCCTAAATTAGTTGCCAGTGTTAGTCTTGAATATGTGAAAGTGAGAGGTTATATATACCTTTTATGTCACTCAAGAGCATTAATTGAAAAGAGCTTCCTGGTTCTGGATCCTGTGTGTTTGTATCTGTGTTAAATCTGACAGGTATATAGCCACATAACCTGATATTATGTTACATATATATTGTTGTTGCCAACACTTTGAGAGGCAGCCAGGAAATCCTTTTATACCCTGAGCAGTTTTGGATGCTGACAAACAAAAGGCTTGGGCATATTGTGAGAAAAGATCTGGGCTTGGGTTTGCTTTGGGATTCACAAATTGGCAGAAAAAATTTACCTTGTGGGAAAAGGTGGGTGTATAAATCTCAGCTTAGTGTCTAATTGCTTTATAAATTGTAGGAGAAATATATACTTTCCTGGAGAAAAATTTATAGCAAAGCAAATCATTTCACATAGCTTCTTACGTCTTCAGTCATGTTCTTTTCCTGTGAAATCCTGGATCTCAGAAGGGAAAGTGTAGAAACTGTAGAAATGTAGGGAATATTTCCGTATGAGTTCTCTCTCTCTCGAGATAATTTCATGGTTTTTTAAGCATAGAAATAAATAGTGCTTATTTGTCTTAGAATTTTCCGGACAGGAGTTCATATTACTAGAGTTCATGCAGCTTCTTAATGACTTTGAAAGAGGCATTTGTCATCAAAAGCTCACTTATCCAATATTTAAGTTGTCAGCAAGAAGGGTTATGTTTGGGAGGAATAAAATAAGAGGTGAAAAGACACTCAAAATGTGACTTTTAGTTCCTTAAATGGAGTACTTACAAGATGAAAACTGGATTCTCTTGCCTCAGTCAGTGAAACAGCACCCCTGGGAAGAAAGGCAATTACTGCCTAGGTTTTTACACATGGGAATGGAACTTGATACTTTGGATTTGTGTAAATTAATTTCAGATCCCAGTGTGACTTGTACAACTTACGTGGCAGCACCATTTCCTTCACTGAAATATAGATGGCAATAAAATTTTAGACTTGCATAGAAAATTCTAGGTTAATTTTCTTAGCCCTGAACACTATTTAATTGATGAAAAATGTGCACCATTAACTGATGGTGCAGAGTCAGGATGGAAGGGTAGTGGTAGGGGCTAATAGTGGATGCCATGGGTGTACTCAGAGGAGGCTGTACCAGCTGATCCCTCCCAACACACTCTTCATTCTTCATCCCCACTAATACTCTCACTACTGTTAGAAATAGTCCTAACTCTTCTTTCAGTTTTAGTAATCCTCTTTACTTTTTAAAGGGCACAATATTTCTCAACTATTCAGTACCCAGGAGGATAATAGAAACAAATGATAGGAAGTAGCTGGGAAGTTATTCTTCAGAAACCCTAGGAGAAGGTGCTGGTCAGGTACATGAATTGGAACCCTAAACGTAAACCTAATCCTAACCCTAACCCTAACCCTAAGCACCAGGACCAAATTCCAATACTCAGGTACTTGAAATTCGACATTATCCCTAACCCTCACCATGAACTTATGCTAATACTAACTTTCCGACCCACACTTGAAGACACAGGCATTTCAATTTCAATGCTATCTATCACCCTAAACCAAACTCTAACCCTAACCCGCACCCTACCCTAACCCTAAGTCATTTTCAGGTACCTCTATTTTAGCACTATCCATGACACTTACCAAAAGAAGAACCCTAACCCTAAAAATCATACCCACTCTCCAAACGCCAGGTACATGAATTGGAACCCTAAACCTAAACCTAATCCTAACCCTAACCCTAACCCCAAGCAGCAGGATCCACTTCTGAGACTGTATAGTTTTTGAGCCTTTCAATGTCTGGCCCGAAGCAGGGGACACAGCATTCTGATAGTTGAGATGGGAGAGAGTGGAAGAAGCCATTGAACTCTGTAAAATAGGGATAATTTCTCATTTGCTGGGCTCTGAGTGTTAAAAGGTGCACCAAGTAATTGGCAGTTTCTAGAGATTCAAACTTGATCAGATTGTTATGCTCAAGCCTTGGTATTTCAAGAAGTTTTAGTGGCTCATTGAAGTCAGGGGTCATTGAAGAGCCCTTCTTTCTTACTTTCCCTAGAAGTTCAGAAAGCAAGATAGACTTTTATGTGTCCTTGTAGCATTAAAGAAATGAAATTTTTTGAGGTCCCCTCCATTTCTAGCGTGTTTTGTAATTTTTTCATTCAAAATCCCTCTCTCGATCATTACAATATTTTTAAAAAGTTTTAAATTGTTCCTAGAGTCAGAACATTTGTGAATCTAACTTAAATTCTTTCTGCATAAATTATTTCTCTGCCTAAAAAGAATTGGTGTGTTTGGTATTTGTCTGCTTGGGTTGCCATAATAAAACAGCACAGGCTGGGTGGCTTCAACAATGCACTGATTTTCTCAAAGTTCTACAGGGTGGAGCCCTGAGCTCAGGGTGTGGTTTGGGTCTAGTGAGGACTTTGTCACAGGTCTGGAGACAGTCTCTTACTGGCTGTGTCCTCACATAGTGGGCTGAGGGAGAGCTCTGTCATCCTTTCTCATTGGCACACCAGTCTCACTTTGAGGACCCTTGCCACATAACCTGACTCTGGTTACCTTTCAGATACCTTCTGCTAATACTGTCACATTGTGGGGTAGGGCTCCTCCATATGGATTGAGGTGGGGCACAAGCATTCAGTTCATAATACTTTCCTAGGTTTCCTATCTTAACCATTCAGTGGCCTCTCTTCACTGATAAGGCCTAATGGAGAAGGAGAGAACAGAGGTGTGGTGGGAGTTTGGCACACAAAAGAAAGGATCACTCCTCAAGGCCTCCGTTTGTGATCATTTATTCATTTATGGTTATGTTCTGCATCCCTGTCTTCTGTAACACTTATTACAGAACAACTTGCTAGATCCTTGCATGAAGGGAGATGGCCTCATTTTCTTGTAGGTTTCTAGTTACAGGTGAACAAGGACACATGTTAATTGCTTGTGACTTCCTCACAAACAGAAGTTGGAATGATGTACTCTATTGAACCACCTGCTACACAATCATCTATAGAAAATGTTTTCTGTCCTTTTAATGGAGCTGTTTATTGTCCATGAACTTACTGGCATAACCAGAGTGGCTCTGTCTCCCAAAGTGCACACCACACAGGGGGCATTGTTCTCTGCTTCTTGCTTCTCCAAGGTGTTTAGCCTCTGCAGGTGGCTGAGCAGACTAACAAATCTGCAACTGAGTTTCACCTTTTCAAGAAAGAAGGAAGCCTTGCCATGGGGCTGTACTTCACTATAGGGTTTCATAGCCTCAGAAAGAAGGCAAAGAATCTTAAGCTTGTAGGACAGAGGCAGAAGTCACCTAGACCCCAGTGTGCATATTCCTTTGTCTGTGCCATGGAGGGAGAGAGGTGGCATTGAATGGATGGAGGACCCAGCTTGGCAGACATGACTTGGAGGCCAGTTCTCCAGTGCCAGTGTGTGTGAGCCTGGGATCAGGAGGCCCTGGCAGCCCAGAGGGGTTTGCAACCTCCACAGAGTTCTGATAGTTTGGATCTAACCCAAGACACACTCGGTTGTCATTCCTTTTGACCTTGAGTATTTTTTATGATCACTCTTTCACCCTCTTCCCTGTCTCAGAATCTCCTTTCCTTACTCAGAGATCACAGTCAAGGGTGAAACTGGTCAGGACTATGGAGCAAGAGAGCAAAGGGTGTAACCTCCCTGAGTCTGAGCTTTTCCTTTTTCTTTGCCCTTTGTATCTTCAGATTCATTCTTTGGTCTTGGCTTTGGAAGTTCATGTCACTTCTCATGAGTTGGTTTTTTTCCTACCACAGCAAGATTGAGCTTCTCATCTGCCTATTCTCAACTGGCCAGAACAGTGATTTGCTTGTGTTTCTCGGGGAGGACTCGTGTCTTGGGCACTGTTTCCCCGCTACGTCTCTCTTTGAACCACTGCCTTGGTGTATACTGGGGCTCTCTGAGTTGCTGCTGTGCCTTGAATTGGAACCAGCAGTTTCAGGGTATCTTTCCCATCCCCATGGAGCAGTTTATAGGGCTCCATGAACTGACGCCTTGCCTAGTTTGTGGGACCTTGTGACAAGCAGGGTCTCCCTCAGTATGTCTCCCTCAGTATTCTTACTTGTAGAGGAGCCATTCATTCATTTATTGAAGTCCTAGTTTGTGTCCCCAAATTTGTTAGATATGGCTAAGAAAAACCACATCTATTGTTCTGATATAGAACCCCAAATTTGTTCGAAATTGCTAGGAAAAACCACATCTTTTTTTGTTCTCACATAGAATACGAAATTGGAAAAAATAAAATTTTCTCCAGAGTTAGAAGACTACTTAAAATGCTGGAAAGGGTTACAGAAAATATATACAACCAGAGGACATTTTGTCAAAAATCCACTCTTTGTGTGTCTTTGTATCATGGACAGTGACCGCAGGCAACACATTGATAACTTGGCTTGTTCTGGCAGCATTTTGCACCCACCTTAATTATGTCTTGAAATGACTAAATAAACTGCTAAAACAGAGGGGCTTAAAGCCCAAGGTGAGTTCAGAAGCTATGAGAATCCAAATATATGACTTTGTGCTAAAAAAGCAGACATGCAAGAAATTAAAAATATAGCCCAAAGGTTTAATGTTGCCTTTTAACTGTGCTTAAATTCACAGTCATATCCTAACTGTCTGTCTGAAGTAGCCTGGCTTGATATAGTGAAGGTATAAACATATCTACTTTCAGTGAGTGCTTCTGCAAATCCTATTTTGATAAGGTCTTAAATCTATTGAGATCAGGCCATAAAATTCCTCTGCACTTTCAGCAATAGGTAAAAACAGTGCTCAACATTTTTTTCCTTTTAATTTTGCATTCAGACTATGTAACCTCTGTGCATAAATCTCCCCTCCCACCCCCCACCACTGCCTGGGGAAAAATATGGGCAACATGTGGTGTGTTAGCAACATTTCAAGTGTAAATATGAAACTTGGTTGGTAAATTTTAATCCGTCCTTTAATAATTTTCTGACTTATAAGGACTATTTTTAGCATATGAGAGCTTAGAGATTTGGTGAAAAATATGTAGTAATAATTCCAAATGCCAGACAAGAGTCGTTTGTAGTTTAGAAACTTAAATAATAAGTTCTTCATCAGTGCCTAGTACACCTTGGGTGATGTGTGGAATTTGGGGCTGTCGATGACTGAAGGTTCTGTTAATGTGATTAATACCATTAAATTACTTACAGAGTTCTCACAAAATGCATACAGATGTTCCCTGAGGAAGAACTGTATTAAGTTTATTTTTCATTTCTGATAGCAGAATCCCACATTGCTATTTAATTTCAGAAACTCCCTTTAGCAGGTGGCCATTTATGGCAGGCAGAGTCTGAAATTTGATGATTCCTGAGAATGCTGGGGTATTATGGAAGTAAAGGAAGATAAAATTCAAGAACCACCCAGCAGAACATTGTAGTCCTTAAACTCTTCTGTTGTTTGCTGTTGATACAGAGATCTATCCTTTGAAGATGACCTCTGAGTGGAAATGTGCTCTGGAAAAATACCTTATTGCTGCCGCAGAGTTTCCTCTTCCAATGGAAGTATTTAAGGTAAGTTGTTGCTTCTTAGCACTTTGGCTTCTGTTTTCAAGCATAAATAGTTGAAAAAGTATTCTCTGTCAAATCTTTTGTCACTGTTAGTAGAGCTACCTTCTGGGCCAATTTCCATTTCAAATGTTTAAATTTATGTCTGTTTCATTTTACTTTTTTTTTAAAACGATCATCTTTATAAATACCCATATTATAAGAGGCTGATTTAAAATTTTTCAGGTTATTGTTTTTCTCTATAATATAAAATCTCCTTTTCATCCCCTCACTTCCTGCCAAGAAGCAAAAGAATACATAGCCTGTCTGATTTTACTGTTTGTTTGATAAGAATGATTGAGAATGTTGTTTCTCCTGATGGTTTAGTTTTTTTTGATGGTTCATGAAACTTGTCATGAGTCTGCTACATACTATACCTTCTGCTGGGTGCTCCTACAGAGAGGAAGGACTAGGAAACATACCTGAGCTGAAACAGATCTCCACGTTCTTAACACTTTTAAAATCATACTTGGAACTTCTGTGGTGGACACAAAGATAATATGCAGAGGTCTGACTGCTCCCACACAGATCCCCACATTTATTTTATGAGCTCCTGTTCACCCTCATTTTCAGACTCAGCTGGTCTTAGTAGCTTGTGAACCTTTTGAGGATTCTGGTGTATTAATTGGGTTGGCTCTCAGCTTTCTGCTGAAGACTTCTATTTGGCTTTGCTGAATATGTTAAATTAGTTACTTCTTGTTCATCAGCTGTTTTAACTTCCATACCTTTGTTGCTGCTGAGTGGATTCATATCTTTTTTTTTAATAGTCTCTTTAATGTAGTTTTAGTTACAGTTTTTAGTAGGAGATAAAATTGATGTAGGTTTTAGTCTGTTGCCTGACGCTGCTATTTTAAAAATTCTTGTTTGGTCTCTTGGGTGAAATAAAGCTTCTACATCTTCTATGCTGCACCAAGCCTGGTGTGATTTCACAGTGCTCCCCTTTGCAGTCTCATGTCAGTCCAGGCCTCTGGCTGGGGCACCAGCTTGGCTCTACACTAAACTTTTTTAGTTTTTCAAATACCTCTTATGCCTGATTTGTTCTTTTTGCTAAATTCCTACTCATCCTCCAGTCCCAAATGTAAGTTCTCTGAAGGGATCCTTCTCTGGACCCCTAGACTATCCCCAGCCCAGATGAGATTGGCTTCCATTAGGAGTCCTTGTGACATCCTGTTCTACAATTCCATGTAGTCCTTAGTGTGAGTCCTTGCATAATATCCATCTCTTCTTTCCAATTTTGAAGCTTTAATAAGGCAAGGGCCACATCTGTTTGTCCATATAGGTCCTTTCCTATGGTAGTATTTAAAAAATACCTGTCAAATAAGTGAACAGATTCTTGCTATATGTATTTAATTCATTGAATATAAAAATTGTGAGTTAATAGAGTTATAGATTAATTGGACATGTAGACTTGTTTAGAACAGTGACTACTAAGACTTAACAGGCATAAACATTAGTAATCTTTGATATATTTTAATTAGAAATTGACTAATTTATTAAACATTTATTGAACAGCTATTCTTTGCAAAGGGCTATTATGTGCTGCTACCTGATTTGAGGGTATTATAGTTTGCTCATCTTTTCCAAAATATGATTACCTTCTTCCTTCACCTTCATTTCTTCCTATGTGAATTGAGACTATTATGCTTGCTTTGAATATTACGTATTCTTAAAATTCATGTGTTCCTTTTATAAATATCTTTTATTTCAATTTGAGAAAAGAGAAATGGGCAGTTTCCTAGCCGTATGTGCATAGGATCAATATTTGTATGATTAATTTGGAGGTCAGGAGAATAACGACTTGACTGGTTTCCTAAGGTTGTTGTAATAAATTTCCATGGATTGAATTACCTATAAAAACAGAAGTTTATCCTCCCATACTTCTAGAGGCTACAGTTTGAAGCCATGTGTTAGCACAACCAGACTCCTCTGCCTGACAGCTCTGAGGGAGAAATAGCCTCATGAACCTGTCCTCACCTTCTGGCAGCTGTCTTGGCGTCACTCTGTTCTCTGCTTGTGTCTTCACCTGGCCTGTTCTGTGTGTGTGTCTGTCCAAATGTCCTTCCTCTTACTAGGACATCAGTCATTGGATTAAGGCCCATGCTAGTCCAGTATGACCCCATCTCAGCTTGATTCATTTGCAAAAATTCTCTTTCCAAATAAGGCCTCATTCATAGGTTCTAGATGGACATGAACTTATCAGGGAGACTATTTAACTCAGTATAACTACATTTATGTATGCTAAATAGAGAAGTAAAATACTAATATTCTCTACTGAGTTCCTCTACTTATAAGGAGAGGTAAATAAGTTCAGAGAGATTACATGGGATGAGCTTAAATTGTCTTTATAATTACTTCATTTATGAAAAAAGATGGGAAATTTTCTCTCTCAAGTTTTTAGAAGTTTCAGGTAGCACTATTCCTCTGCAAGTTCTCCCCAAATAGAATATCTATATCTATATCTATATCTATATCTATTTATATATCTATATCTCTATATATATCTCCCCCATTATCACTGTTGGATTATCAGTGTTTCTCTGCAGGCAGACTTACATTCTACTTTTTTCATTATAGTAAAAAGAATATATGTTGAATTCAGCAGTGAATCATCTGAAATGCATGTTGTTATGGAAAATTGCCGTCATGTTCAGCTGTTATGAGGCAGAAGTTAAAGCTAAGCACATTTAATGGCTAGAGATGAGCAGTATTTCCAAGCAATTCTTTTTATTATTTTTACACTTTAGATAAAATGGGCATTTTGATGGAATGCATCTCATTATGTTGCAGCTTCTCACTTTGGGGGTTGTGCTCACATGTCTGTGTAGCTGTGTCTGTACCTGGAGTTGGATCAAGTTCATATGCATTTTTCCCCTTCCATCTGGAACAGAAACACAAACTATAAAAATAAGCTCCTAGTTAGTACTGTATTTCTGATGTTATTTACCTTCCATTTGAGAGAACATTCTATAAAATGATACTCCATTTTATAGGAAATACTAACTTACCTTATTAGGAAAGTGTAAATCATCTCCAAAACATACAGTTCAAAAATATACTGTTAATGAAAGAGAAAATAAAAACAATGTTTAAAACACCCATTTTATTGAAAAGTAAATATTATTTTTTTCCCCTAAAATCCAACTGCATTACTTGGAGTCCTAAAAGATGTACTGAAGTGATTGCTACACTGGTACTAATTTGCTCTTCAAAAATAATGAGGATTGCCGGTTATTTAGCTCAGTGGTTTCGCTGCCTGCTGCGCAAGCACAAGGACCCGAGTTCAACCCCCGGTACCAAAAAAAATAATAATAATAATAATGAGGCTATAAGGTGATCCCATGGTCACCAGATGCTCAGATCATTCTCCCTGTATCACACAGCTGGGTCATGCTCAGTGTTCAGGACACAGAGAAATCTGCTCAAATAAGCCAGGCATGGTGACCATACCTGTAATCCCATTCTCAAGTTTAACCTAGTCTGGGCAACTTTTTGAGACCATGTCTCAAAGTAAAAAGCACTGAGGATGTAGCTCAATATAAAAGTCCCAACTTCAATTCCCAGTACGATTAAAAAAAAATTTGCTTAAGAGATCTTAAAATGTGAATAAAACCTTTGATGTAGCCACATCTACTTATTTTGCACCCTCTGTAAGCAATCATTTTATTAACTCAGTGTTTTCCACTGTCAACTAAAATGAGGTACCTTGGTTCAACAAAAGCTTTTGGTTTTTGTCTTTTCTAAAGATCTGCTAGGATAATTTTCTCTGAGACTTGTTTCTATCATAAAACAAAGAAGTTAGTATGACAGGACTATCTCAGCTTTTTGGCCAACAACGTCTGTACTGCCCCAGTTTCTCAATTCAGTGTTGGCTAAGATAACCACTAAAGAGTATTTTGGAACTAAGTTTAAAAATAGGGCCAAAGGAGACTAGAAAACAGTGTGATGTTGAGTCATGTAATTCTACTTCCCTTGTCTGACACTCATGAGCCTACTATAATTGCTACTGCTTTTCATTCTGCTATTCTTTTTATTGGGTTTCATTGTGGCATTTCCATACATGTATATTACATATTTTGATCATATCCAAGCCTTGTATCACTCTCTGCCATTCTTATAAATTGTGGTCTATCTACCTCTGTGACTCCAATTGTTGGCAAATATTAAATTATGAAAGTTTCACTGAGAACTCATACACCCATCAAAAGATTTACAAGTCAGAAACAGCACTTCCCAATGTCTCACTTAGTGGAATTAAGTTTTTTTTTCCTTAGAGAAAAGAAAAGCATAATGCAGGCTAAGCAAAAATTATCTAGCTATATTCATTCATGACCACACCTTGTAATGATGAATGTACTTGAAATGCCACTAAAATCCAGGATTAATTTATATCCCTGAGAAAAGGGAAAATTTTCAAGACTTTTTGTCTTTATTCTTTTTTAAAAGAGTTGAAAATTTCATTGTGTTTGAAATGTCCAATTAAGCTATTTAGAGATTTGCAGTAGTGTGAAGGGAATTGTAGATAGACAAGGGAGACGTAAGGCCCAAACCTTGGCAAACTAGACTTGATCCCTTATCTCTTAGTCTTTACACTAACCTACTGCTGTGAAGTTATACAGTGTTTCTTCATTAAACAAACAGAAAATAGAGATGCAACAAGCTTGTGGGAATATGCTCAAGAGAATACTTGAGTTCCGTGCTAGAGCTGGCTGGAGCGACTAGTCTCTGCTTTCTAGTCAGTTTATTTTCTGTACTGTATTGCATACACTCTAACCCATTCTCAAGTATGTATTAGAAGTGAGAAGATGACATATGGCTGAACAGTGACTCCTTAGTCCTCCTGGGTTATTTCCTTTTATTTCGAGCTCAGAAGTGGTACAGTTTTGATGGAATATGGACATCCAGTACTTGAGTCTAAGATCCCGGCCTGCTGCCTCCCTGGCCAATTTCTAATCAATATCTGTGTCTAT